CCAGCATTCATGAGCACAGTTTAACCAACATCTGCTCTGTCCTTGTTCTATGTGTTGATAACAGTTTAACCAAATATTCATGAGCACCAGATTATGGTCATAAGATCCTGGAATTTGGTTTATATTAGATATTCACTCATTCTTTCGTGTACCTTTTTAACTGTTTCACCATTCCGCAAAGTCTAGGAAAAGCTCCAAGAGAACTGTCACCCAACTGTGACTTAATGGCTGTTGAGTTTTCTAACTAATGTCTGTTTGGGAATCTTAACTGCATCTGATTGAAGTTGTCTGTATGTCTAAATTGATTTTTACCATCTACGATTAATAAAAACAGTGAGCTCACACAAGTAAGTTTGCGTCAGTTGTAATATCTGTTCAAATTGATATTCACTTGGAAACCGGCAAGGATACAGGAACCATATAAATAAATTGGGGTTCAACTGTTTTCTCTAAGTCAACTCTACATCTTAGTTTTAGAAACATGTGCTGATAAACAATTGCCTCTTGTTTGCAAGTTATATGACTGACCTTCACCTATCATGATGCAGGTAAAGATCTTCACATCTGATAATGTTCAAGATGAGCTTCAGAACTCAATGAGGGACTATGTTCGAGCATCGATAGGTATTAGTGAAAAGGGGAAACTGCTGGTGCCAAAATTGCTGCATAGTTTTGCAAAGGCCATCGTCGAAGATTCCTTGTTAGTTGACTGGATTTGTCGATATCTTTCCCCTGATCAAGTAACCGTTGTTCGGGATTCCACGTCACAGTTGAAACAGAGGTTGCTAGGTGCTCGGAGTTTTAGCGTCATCCCATTTGATTCAAGGTTTCGATACCTATTCTTGCCTGATGACAAGACTTTCCAGAAATCTCTCCATCATCAGCTTGCTTAAGTTTGTCTTGGAAAAATTCAAGGATTGGCATCTTCAGAGTGTAGGATCTTGCATTTTTATTGACACATGCATCCATGCCTATACCCAAGATTGCTCCTGCTAATGATTTCTTCACCTGAATGTGTCTTTGACTATGATCTTATAGATTCCAGGCATTCGGATGACTGTAAATATGCATGGCATGCGGGGAATAATTCTTGGGTTGTTTTTACGGAAGGAAACAAGCATTTGCAAACCAATTGAAGTGCAAACCTTGTACATATGGTCAGTCGGTTTTGAGGGATTTGATGCTTGTGCAAGAGAACCCACATTTTGTTTTAACTCGTGACCATCCAGTGAAGGACACCAGCTAAGTTTGTTTAAAGGAGTTGTATATTGAGATTAGATAGTTGATCCAAAGTGATTCTTTATAGGTTTGTGGAAATTGAGTTATAAGTTACTTTTGCCTCTGTATGTTGTACATGGCAATATTGTTATCCTGTGTGAGACTTGGCATTCAATAAGAGAAAAATTATTTGACATATTATACTTGGCTCCTTTTTTTTCTTCTTTTTTTTCTCATGGAAGGGTATGATCTAAATGATAAATAAATTGTTTATCCAATAATTTTATTGATTTTTGAATCTCAACAATGGCTCTTGAAAGAATGGTTTAAGTTGGTCAATTGGTGATATTTCTTAGTGAGCAAAAACTGCTGGGAATTTCTCTGTTTCAAATATATTGTTGTTGATTCATAAATTTTTGCATGAGGCTATTATCAAATGCGAATGTCATCACAGGTGCCTGATGGAGGCCATGGATTGAATTAAGATTTAATGTTCTTAGTCTTGTATTCATGTATTTAGTTGCTTAATTTTGTATACACAATTAGAATGCTACTTGAATAGAAGCTTTTTTTACCTACTTTATTTGAATTTATGACATAGAAACTATGACTTTTTGTAGATACACCATGGTTCATAATTTCTACAAGAAATTTCCATTCTCTTATTCTCTCCTTGGAAATTATGATCCTTCATAGAAATTTCTTAATCACACAGTCAAGTTCTTGTTGACAATAACTTCTTTTCAAGATCTTAGCATCTACAAAAAGAACATGTGACACTGCATTGGTGGAACATTCATGATACTAAATGTTAATTAAACATCTCAGTTTAGTTTCACATCAGGAAAAAAAAAAGGAAATTGAGTTGACTTGTAAGCTTGAGATGAACCTACTACCATTAAATTGAAATTATTTATCTGAGACCATGTCACATTAAGTTTTCATTGGGTAGAATTATGGTGAAAATATTATGCATAACAATGGATCTAAAACTAAATATGATGAGAAAGCCTAAGTGGAGGACAATTTGTGGATGTATTATTCTCTTTCTCTTAGGATTATAATTTTAGGGACAGATTAAGATAAATAGTGTAAGAGAGGATCTAATATTGATGACCAAATAGAACATAGCTACAGTATATGAGTGAATCAAAGCCAAAAAAAAAATGAAGAACTCTCTACCCATCTCCCGAAAGCTTGAAGGGACATTTTTTGTAGAGCATATACCTTTGTCGTGTGAAAGTATTCTCTCTCTCTCTCTCTCTTCTTCTTGTCTCTTACCTAATAGGAAAAGATTAACTTCAAGTCCTACAATATCAGCTCAACATCATATCATGAAATAAAAAAGATTATAAGCTTCCTTGATTGACATGGTTAAAGCAGCAAAATGACTACAATTTAGTATATCCTGATAACATAAAGCACTTAAACAAAACCAGTATAAGTTGCATAATATTATGTAGGGGAGATAACCATCATTTATTATATATCAATCATTTAGTAGTTTTTGGTATTCTTGTAGAACTCAACTAGTGGAAACCCAATCCATTTAGATTATGTAAACAATGAAAGCTGCTTTCAACTCAACTTTGCGTTACATGTTATGAGAATCAAGAATTATCTAGTAAACTCTCATCACGTATGTTCTAAAGTTTACGATATATATATAAGAGTTTCAATATCTCTTCTTACAAGTCGTCTAAGCTTAAGCTTAATATGCGAATAAAATTGAAGTGTATGGTGTAAGTCCATCTTAAAAATATGATTCAAACTTATAAGCAAATTTGATATCATCTTAAAAATATGATTGGGTAATCACAAATCTCATAACCTTAGGCTATTAGCAAATAACATAATACATGCTTTAACACTTGATTCATGTGGTTATCATATCATGGTAAATATGGGTATTAGAGAGCCTGTCTTCCTACTTCACCCCTCTAACAATGACAAATTAACCACATGCAACGCATAAGTCTTTCACTTATGCTTAAGAAACTTTGATTGAAGACCTTGTTGAGGTGATGATGACAAGCCATTCATCTTTACTTTAGGAACCTTGGAGTGGACTTGCTTGTTCAATCAACCAACGATTGTTCACTACAATCAATTAACAATTCCATCATAGCAATTGCCCACGAGGATCTCTTGGCATTCAACCTTGGAAATAGTTCCATACCACTAAAATACATGAATTATTGGAGCTCTAAGTTTAAACGAAACCTTAAAAAAAGGATCATTATTGGCAATATAAAATATAAGTCAGCTCATAACCTGTAAGGAGATTTAATGAGGTGACAAACAGTGCTTCCATAAGATAAAATTGCAGGATGGAATTTTCTTCACCTCAATCTCCAATAGCAAGTGATTCAGCTCACCTTATTGTGGTGGCCAGTGAACAAAATACATAATAAGGGGTGGTGGCTGTCATGTTATGATGTGAAAGAGTTTGCAGTATTTTATGCCATGAAGTGGTTCCACTCCCTGATAGATGATTGGTAGATCATTTTGACCAATTTGGTATTGAGATGAGTATTTACATGTTGGTGTTGGACAAGAACATTTATTGGGTAATTTGATACTTAATCTGTAAGCCAGCATTGATTTCAAACATGAACAAATTGATTATAATAGGAAGAGTATACCAATTGATCCATTCGAAATGGATTACCAATTGATCCACATCAAGTTTAACCATCTTTTCTTCTTTGGCAAAGGAACAAAGACAAAACAGTAAGTGGGGTAGAGGTTGTAGAAAGTTTGATGAATATACATGTAATAGGAATGTCAAATTCAGGTTATATAGTTAAAATCTTATTAGATCTAACTATATATTAATCTGAGGCAAAATCAAAATCCATATTATATGTGAGCATGATGTTGTTATTAGGAACACCTGGCTAAACCTTGAGTCACTAGATCAGTAGTCAAATCTTTGGATTAATTGTTCAAACTACAAGCTTAATAAGAAAAATAATATTATAAAATATAGTAACATCATGGTTTTTTTTAAATTTCTTTTATGATGCATCAATTTAAAAAAAAAATTCTTTTTTCCATTTTCTTTTCTTCTACTTATTAATCTTTTATTTAATTCTTATTCATAGTTTTGATTGGAAATAGAACCAAGAAGGATATCAAAGAAGGTTAAGGTATAACTATGTAGGGATGATTGTTGAGGTTTCACTCCTCTTAGTCTTTGTTCAATGTTGTCTTATCTAAAAGGTTAAATCAATACAATAGATGTATAACATTGACTTACATTCTTGACATTCTCCCTCAGGTAGGTAATAGACAGGATTAAATCTGATATATGAAATTTTAATCGGTTTAGAATATATCATGAGCTTGAACTTAAGCTTTCATGCCACAATAAAGATCTTAAATTGGATTATTAGGAAAGTGCTTATTCTATTTTAAACTCTAACACCTTCTTGTTTTTCTTTCTGCAATTGCTTTTCTATCAATCCTCTCGATCTTCTTATTTCTGCAATTGCTTTTATTATTTTTGAAATATAAAATTCCTTGGCAATTTTTATTATTTTTAAATAAAATTCTCAAAATTTTCTCTTTTTATTTTTGAAATATTCTTCAATATATATATATATATATTCGATTTGTGGGGAGATATACTGATCCATGACACAATGGATACTGTCCAAGTACAAAACGCTTTTGCTAAACAATTTAATCCAAATAACAAAAAAAATTGGTTCTAATTGCTTCCGTCATGAGATCATGACGCGTGAATAGTTGCTCTATAAAACCCTGTTCCTACTTGCCGGTCTTCCCAAGCTTCTCCTCCATCCTCGTTCCCTGCACACGAAGCACTGCACGAGAAGCTTCATCTCCATGGCTTTGTCGTTTCGAAGAACGACAAACCGCGCCAGAGAATTCATCCTAACTCGAACATATAGCTTTGATCGCCTCAACCGATACCTTCGGCAGCTAGTCCTTTTCGTTTACCGCTTTTCCGCCCTCCGCTTGAGCTCATTCTGCATTCACCTGATCTACTTTGTGTTTCTGGCCTTGCTTGGTTCTCTTATCATGGTGCTCCTGAAGCCGAGCGACCCTTCCTTTAGCCCTAGCTACGTCGACATGCTCTTCATGTCGACCTCGGCTTTGACGGTCTCAGGTCTCGGCACGGTCGAGACGGAGAGGCTGTCCAGCGCGCAGATCGCCGTCCTCACGCTCCTCATGTTCGTCGGCGGCGAGGTGTTTGTCACTTTGCTCGGCCTGCTACTGCGGAGGACATCCGAGCATGACAAGCGCGAGGCTTCCGCTGTTGGAGTCGACGCCGTGCGCAGCGAGCTCGAACCTGTCGCTTCCTCCCGAGTGGTCACCATCGACAGCATCGAGCCGGTGGATGGTTCCGCCGCCATGGCCGAAGAGAAGGATCTAAGGCTTAGTTGCGTTCGATGGCTGAGATATATAGTATCGAGTTACATCTTTACCTTCCATTTGTTTGGTACCTCCTTGCTTCTGATTTACATCTACCGCGTCTCGAACGCAAGGGATATACTGAGGAAGAAAGGCATCAACGTCTTCCTGTTCTCTTTGTCCACGACTGTTTCTTCCTTCGCCAATGGTGGCTTGATCGCGACGAACGAGAACATGGCGGCCTTCAACAGGAACCCGACCATGCTCCTGTTGATGATTGCCCAGGTTCTGGCTGGCAACCTACTCTTCCCTCTGTTCCTCAGGTTGGTGATCTGGACCTTGAAAAAGATCACCAAACGCGAGGAGTTCCGACACATGTTGAAGAGCACAAGCGAAACCCGGTTCAGTCCGCTGCTCCCGGAGAAGCAAACTTGCTTCCTGTCCCTCACCGTCGTCGGGTTGATGACGGCTTTGCTGGTTCTGTTTTGCTCCATGGACTGGGACGGAGCGGTGTTTGACGGATTGACTTCTTTTGAGAAGATTGTATCTGCTTTCTTTATCGCGGCCAACTCCAGGCATGCTGGTGAAAACTCCATCGATCCATCCCTCATCTCCCCGGCAGTTTTGGTGTTCATAATTGTGATGATGTGAGTACTTCTCTCCAGCTTGTTTCTTCCTGCTTATATATCCTACATCAATTATACTGTTTGATAACCTTGGATGGTTTCAGGTACCTTCCTCCTTCCGCAACATTTTGGCCCGCCGAGGAGGATGATACAAGTTCTGATGGAATCAAGAAGCAAAACAAGAAGAAGAAATCATGGGTGCAAAACCTACTAATATCGCAACTCTCCTGCATTATTGTCTACATCATTCTCATCTGCATCATCGAGAGAAGGAAGATGCGCAGAGATCCACTCAATTTTAGCTCTTTGAACATGATCTTTGAAGTGACAAGGTAACCACCCATTGTCTTTTCGCTTCACTGTACAAAACTACTCTGGTAGTACTATGACGATGGCATCGAGACAAACACATCACTTATGAAATATGCAGCATCAAAGAGACTTGATATCTATTCAGCATATCATTATCATCGCCATGTAAATACTGATTGAACTTCTCTTTCATTGTACCTTTTTATTACAGTGCCTATGGAAACGTGGGGTTATCAACTGGTTATAGCTGTTCAAGGTTGATGAAACTGCACCCAGAAGCGAGCTGCCAGGACAAACCTTATTCTTTAGCAGGATGGTGGAGTGATGAGAGCAAGATTATTTTGTCCTCGGTCATGCTTTATGGAAGGCTTAAGAAGTTCAGTGCACAAGATGGTAAAGCCTGGAGGCTGTACTGAGTAAACAGATGAAAAGATTTATGCATGCATGCATGCAGGGTTCAGATTGTTGTATGAAATAAGCACCACCAGGAATTTATACCTGAGAAATGCTTGAACTTTCTTTTCTTTTCTTTTTTCTCTGTGAGAAATTAATGGCTTGTAAAACCAAGAAATATACGTTGTTGTGTAAGATTTCTCAATAATATTGATGAAAGCAAGGTGAAATTTTGAGGGGTTCAGAAATGACTTCATGGTTTGTAGTCAAGCTATCATTTTATTCATCTAAGATGATCTGAGATGATCATCTCTTAGCACTCCCTGATCATGATGAACTGAAAAAAGGGAACAATATAACCTTTTTTCTTTCCTTTTTCATATACAAATAAGAAGAATTCTGAACTTTAAAGACAACAGGTTAAGAATAAATCGAAAAACTATTGAATCATACATAATCATGTTATTATGTAAGCTTTTGGAAAGTTCACTGTATTGAAGTGAAGGAAAAATTCCACACTAAAGCAAATTTAGGTGAAAATTGAGTTCCTGATATTTTCAGGATAGCTGGATAAGAAGAAAACAATAAATTCTACTACAAGGAGAAATGATGATCACAAAATCATAAAAGAGAAAGAAGTGAAACTAAGAACACCGAACTTAAATTGATTTCTTACGTATAAATATTCTTTTTCATTTTTGAGAATGCTTAGACATACGCTTGGTAATGTCGAAAAAATAACCTTTTTGTTTTCTTCTTTTCTTTCTTGAGATCATAGTCCTATCTATTGAACATCAGCGAGCCGAGAAATCATCTCATGCACATTTGTGTTTCAATGAACTACAATGACATCTGGACAAGTAATAAGAAACATTTATCAAATGTTTATCGAATCTTCTGTTGCAAAATTCAAGTGTCATTTACTGCCTCTAAATTTAGATGCATGAAAAGAGAAATAATGTCAACCACAGTATATTGCCCCTACACACTCATATATACTTCTCATCTTCCTAACGAAATAACAATTTCTAGAACTGCCTTTACCTTATCGTCTTGATGCAAATCACATAACCATGACAAAAATGAAACTTCTTGTCTAGAAAATGTACTTGTTTATGATCCCGAGCACAATGCCGAAGTCAAAGACATCTTTCATGCTGCCTATGACCTTCACGAGGTTCTCAACCCCTCCATTAATTCTTTGCTTTCAACTAATCCTTTCTCTGTTCATTGCACTAAGAAACAAGCATCAACGAAAGAGTGAGGTTTGATGAAAGATCACTTGATTCGTACTTTCTATCCATTGTGAGGATCCATATGTGAGAGGAACTTACATCCAGATCTCTGGTGAAGAATGACAAGATCATTCGAGAACACTCCATCTCCTCCTCAAAGAAGGAACGACGACATGGCAGCAGCGACACAGAAGTGGCAAGATAGTGTGAGAGAGCTTAAGAGTTAAAAGCTGTGATGGCTCGTATCACGTGTGCATGCAATTCGAGGTTCCATTGATTTGTTTGTGCAGAGATATCCAAGTAGTATAATCACCACCAGTTTTAGCATGATTAATTCTATTCCACAATCACTTGCTTACTCCAATATATTATGCAATACATTAGATGGTGAAACCTCATAAGCAACCAAGAGCAACATAAACTACTCCGCCATCATTGAGCATAATGCAGGTTAAATATTTAGGTGTAGTAGTCGAGCACATGATGTGAGCTCCAAAACTCCTCGTTCAAGCCGTCTGCAATTACCAGTTCAAGCCGTAATTTAATACTCTTCAACATAAAGATTCAAAGATGAAAGCGAAAGGCAATTTACATTTTAAATGGAAATGATGGCCTGCATTCTAGAGTGAGTTCATGTGCAGCGAGAGATTCTTGGTTTGATGGATGATAAAAATTAAAAATAATAATCATTAAATAGACTATACTTTAGACTATATCAAGTGGTTTGGCGGTTTCTGGCCTAGTATTAACCTCCAAGACTAAATATTTGAGTGTGGTTTACTAAGTGCATTCGGTGTTCCAAGATGATTGGATTTAAGTTAATTTTCTACAGAAGCCAGTGTAATTAATCCAAGTGATGACAAATGCTTACAACTATGGTTTGTAACAACAGCTAATTGATCATGGTGATATAAGATATATATAGCACCAACCTTCTTTAAGCTTGTACATATATAGCTTAGTTTTTTGGATGTTGTAACTATGGGAACAACATTATGGATATATCCTATCTCCTTTACTTCACTCAAGGAAAACACGCCTCTTTCTTGTTAAGTGGAAGGATTTATTAGCTGAATCCTCAAAAGCAGTGTGACATTGTCATGAAACCCGAAGATTATGATCAAGGTAGAAATTTTCTACATCCAAAATTTGAAGATCTACCCATGTTAGTACTAAGAAAAAAAAAACAAATCCACTTTATGATTGATAACTAAAGTATAAAACATCTTTTTGATCTACAAACATACTCTTCATTCTATTTTCTAAAGAAAAACTTAATATAGTACCCCCAAAAAAAATCTAAAGTCTTGGATTCGACTTAGGAGATCGATAGGATTAGCGCACTCTTAGATACTATCTAAATTATATGCGAAAATTAATGACTTATAGAGTCTTTCTTTCATATAAACAATAAGATCAATTACCTACATCAAATACTTAGCATCATTTCACCTAGAAACCTTTCAGAATGACCCTAGTAAGCCCTAATTAATGTATATAGATACATGCATATATGATCACTACAGTTGTATTATATGTTCATTTCTTTATTTCTTCCTTAGGTTAGGAGAGTACCTCAGGGGGCAGAAGAAGGGACATCTCATGTGATTCTTACACATCGTTTCAAGGCCATCAATATCAAGACTGTCAGAGAACAGATATAAAAAAAATTTATAGATCAGGACAAAAATGAAAAATTAATGCTATTGAATTCAGGTCATTGGCAGCTTTGGTGTGAAGTACTCCTCTTAGACCAACTTACTCCAATAATTGTAGTTATTTTAATCCAATCATTGAGAGTATAATAACCCTTCTCTTGATGAGGTTATTGCACAAAGTCAGTGCATCGTGTCGTACCACAATTTCCACAATGACCTGTTGTTGGAGTTTCTCCAAACAAAAACACAAGAGAATTTCCACACTTCCCAAATCTATTGGTCTTTTTATAATTTGGTCTATTTAAACAAGTAGAATTATTGCGAGTTATAACAATACATTGATTAGATAGAGTCTTACATCCTACCTAATGGTTGCTCGTGTTGGTCATCATGATATGACCTGAGTTGGAACATATATAGTCAATAGGCACTATACACGATGTGTGTGTGTGTGTGTGTGTGTGAGAGAGAGAGAGAGAGAGGGATGATTCGAATACAAGTGTGGTACATATCTTGGAGTTTGATTTGATCCCAATAGAAATTTTCGGACTCTTTGTTCAAGAAAGAAAACCTATGACCTTCGGAGGTTTTACCATTGCCATTTCAGCCATCAACACTTTCTTGCTAAAGATGCTAAATAAGTTCCAAGTAATTCAAAATACATGAAGTGTTACATGAACTGATGTCTTGGAGATTTGGGACCCGCAGTTGTGGACTTAGCGGCACCGTGTGCATACCGCGTTGTATTAAATCAACCAAATCTAATATCTTAATGTGACTATGAGAAATATATGTGCCACCTAATACGACAGAAACATGGTCGCAGGTTTGGTTGCTCCAAGACTCGCATCATCCATCTCATAGTGGTCAATAACTTAGAACTGGTCATTCTCATGAATCCCGAGGGAGAACGTCACGTTGTGTGCTTATATGTATTTAAGTGTGCGGACGAGTCTACGTGCATGGAAAGCGTGTGTGCATACGTACCCACGTACTGTTGTGCTTAGAGTGATATAGATATGGCGATGAATCGAGTAGAATCCAGTGTGCATGGGTAGTGCATTGAGATTTGTAGACTAACCCAAATCCATGCACTCCAATGATCGAGCCAGTTTAGTTAGATCCATGAGAATGCAAAGTTTTGCTCGTACATACACATTTATATTTCGAATCCAAGTGATGAAAACAATTTTATTCAGGCTGAATTCAGCTCTATTAACAGGCACATTAATACTTGTGAATTCAATCCTAATGAGAGAATTAAGGCTTCAATCTTGTAATCTCAAAATTAAAAATTATGTTTGTTGAATAGGGTCTCGTTAGTAACTAAGAATATTAAGACTAGACTAGTCTTAAAGACAAAATTATAGTTTATTATTTTCCAAATATGGACGTATCAAAACAATTTTAATTTTTGGTATGCACTAATTCGATCATATTTAGCTAATTATCTATCATTTTGAATTGCTTAATTGAAACGATATATATATCCTATTTTCATGTATTAACAGGTCTCACACACATTGTTTATATATATATATATATATATATATATCCATATAAATTTTAATTTATAAGAGATTTATGTCATGTTTTTAGCCAATTGTTAATTTGGAAGTTGAATTGGTGTTGTTGATAGGGAGATGGAAAGAGAGGAGACAAGGACGATGATTTGATCACTCTTTTCAACCATTTACAGCCGCTGGGTTGCTTTATGATTCGAGTTGCGAAGATGAGTCAGGTTTATGGGCCGAGGTGTAGGGCCCATTAAGTTGGCTGCGTTGGGAACGTGGCCCAATAAATTCTTCTTCAGCGAAGGCTTTTTGGCTCCCAACGGCGAAATTTTTGGGTTCCCTCCCAAAGTAATTTATCGGCGCCCTCTCCCCGCCTCTCTCACTCTCTCTCTCTCACCACCGACTCGCTTGTGGAAGTTGTTTGCGTCGGAAGCGGCTGGAAGCTGGGATGAGCCCTGGCATGGGGTCGGAGGAGGACGATCGAGGGTCTCCTTTTTCTCCTTCTACGTCGGCGTCGAGGCCGCGTCTCGTCATCAAAGAAATGGTGCTTCGCAACTTCAAGTCTTACGCCGGGGAGCAGCGGATCGGCCCTTTCCACAAGGTCCGCCTTTTGTTCTTCTTATTTTCTCTTGAGAGAGGAAAAGGAAAAGCTTGGTCGCGGTTGTGCAATTGTTTTTGGGGCAAAAGTATTTTGTTTCCTCTGCAAGGTCTGGGTTTGATTTAGTTTGGTGTGGTTATGATTCGCTTTAGTGGGATACAAAGGCTGCTGCTGCTTCCCCTTATCTCTCTTGTAATTTTGTTGTGAACTTATTTTGCCAGAGCT